AGAGCGCGAGATTAGGCCACTCCGTGAACAAGATGGACTGATAGCCATCGAAAATTTGGAGGTTAGTATCCTTATCCTTCCAAAGTTGTCACTGATGAAAGAATTCACTAGGAACTGTATCTGTACGTGACAAATGAATCTCTTCAATGTATTTCATGTATATTCAAAATATTGTATTGGGCAATGGAAATATACCCGGTTAATGTGTATGATTCAAAGGCATTTGCATTCTGTTAAACTTAGACATGGCAGCTTTGAGAGGTGCAGTCGTCGTAATCGTAATTGGTAAGTACTCACTTAAGACCTCTCTTGGACGTTGTTTTAAATATTAACTACAAGAAATCCTTAAAAGGATTCCTTAGAAATCCTTAAAAGGATTTCTTGTAGTTAATATTTGCATGCGCGGGACACAAGTTTCTTTTGTCAATAACAAGGACACAAAAATATTAGTTCGCCAACTGATGCTAGTCTTCTAACCTTTGCGACATACGAATTATAAATATTTTATTGAGAGGGTACCAGAGGGCGCTAAAATCTAATCATTTTGAGGCTCATCAATACCAACTTATACATGTACATACAAAAAAAAATGAAATATATCGCCTTCTTGGGCTATCGTGTTTACAAACGGACACACACAAACACACAGCCACAAACAAACACAAACAAAACACATTCAAAAGAACGACCCCGAAAACATGACCTTTTCTGGTAAGGTAATTATGTCCATCATAAAACAATGTGATATATATTGTGTCGTCTTTCCGTTCAAGACGTTCTTATACTTGCATTGCCTTTCCACGATTCAGCGACATCAGCCGGAAACTGGCTTCCACCAGCATTTTCACACGACTTCATTACTTTCAACTGGGATGCCACAGGCTTCGTGCTGAATGAAACGAGGAATGAATCATTTGTGAAATACGTGGTTCAGCTGTACAAGACTAAGAACGACAGTTGGTAAGCTCATGTCTTTTACAAGAGAATGAACAGAAATTAAGTGAAATGAACTCTTAAATGCAAAGTACAGTAATGCATGTAAGAAATCAGGTCTCAAGACACCAATACCTAGATATAATTATTTTTCGAAATCAACATACTTCGTCCATCTTTCGTTCTCTTATGCACCTATAGTTATATAATATCTGGCAATGATAACATGAGAGTATCTAGATCCTACTCGGATTTGTGTGGCGCCACAAATCAAATGATGCTTTTTAAAGAGAATGTTCTCAGCCTATTTTTGTCTTTCGCATTATAGAAAATCAACTGTGTGTAATTGTCTTCGTCAGAAGGACTATGAAATTGTCTCGCCGGAGTGTGGGGAACTGCGGATTTTGCGATATAACTCTGGAAGGCATGATTCGACGTCCATGATTTTTGGCAGGCAGATTACCGCTGTTAAGGCCAAAGTCAAGTACAAGTTTTGGCTTCGTGGGGGGTCCGTGCGTCATGTTAGTGCACCTTTTGTGTTTGTGGCTTGTTAGCAAGATAACTCAAGTATTTGTAAAATGTTGATTATAATTCTTGGTGTGGTGCTTACTATTGTCGGGACCAAGGTTAAGTTCGTTACTGAGCTTCGTGGGGGGTTTCGTTGTGACTACAGGGGGCATTTTGTTAATTTTTCTTGTGAGCAGGATAACTTTTGTATGTGTGGATGGAAGTTAATGAAATGTGATAGGCATATTACTGTCGTGGTCTCCAAGATTGAGTTCAAAGATGAGAGTTGTGGAGGTCGTTATGTCCCCGTAATAGGACCTTTTGTGTTTAGAAATCCCCCACCTACATCTGCTTGGAGACAGCCGACAGCTGGATATAGCGGGGAACCCCATAATGGGATGGGATCAAATGACGTTACATTGAGGGATTGTACTATAACTTCAGCAGGGGGAGGATAGGTTGGACATATGTCAGGTTATTTTCTACGGCCACACCAAGTAATTGCTATGGATGACGTCCACTGGAGACCTTAAATCTAATTACCTTAAATTTAAGGCAAGCGCGCAATAAAAACACGAAGGGCCGAAAAACGAGATGCCTAGATTTGGAATATACTAACTGTAGAAGTACAAATGTTAGGACACAAAGAATACAAGAAACAAGTCTTCTATTTGTCATAAAGACAAATTAACAAAACAGCAGTAGTCACCCTGTTCTGATTGTTTCCTTTATAACATCTTCTCTTATTATATTTTGCGGCGCTGTCGCGACACTTTCAACACAGTAAGAATTTCTTGAACGTTTTTTTTCCAGTAACAGTCCAAACTCAAATAAGGTGGGGGGGGGGGCGTAACACGGGTGACGGCGCATCTGTATAATCTGCGGCAAACCGTTTCAGGGTGTTCTGTACCATAAAAATAGTACAGAGATTCTTTTGTTCTTTAGACCAAATTGATTATTAAAAAGATTGAAGAATACGCATGTTAATTTCTCTAGAACGATGTACCTCTGACGAAGACATGAGATCTCCGACCTCTAGTTCGATATAAGAATAAGTTGTTTTCTAGAAGCTTTCAATATTCTTTAGACATAGCAGTATGGGGCTGGAATAGCACAACAAGGCCAGTATTAGAGTAATAAAATAATATGATATAATATAATATAATATGATATAATATAATATGATATGATATGATATAATATGATATAATATAATATGATATAATATAATACATGTATAACATAACATAACATAATATAATATAATATTCACTAACTTATCTTTGCTTGCGTGTTACTTTCAATACGCATTATCACTGTACAGTGATAATGTGATTCAACCACCGATGGTACAAGAAATCCCAGTGTACTACCTACAGCACCACACATTCACACGTCTGAATCTCAGTCATCTGTACTGCAGGTAATGAGAACCAACACTATTTCATTGTTCTTTTCTGTATCATTTCATTGTTCTTTTCTGTATGTATGTATGCATTGCTTATTTCAAATGCACTAAAAAAATCTAAAAAAAGAAGGTACAAAACATAAACGCAACAGATGAATACGAAGATGTAATTCATTACGAGTTCTGATTGTAAAAAAAAGATAACCAATACTATTGCTCCTTTCACCACAATGCTTCAAGAATGTTCCAAATCATACATGTTCTTGGTTCTGGGACAATGACGATGGGCTTTAGTGTATGTTCACGCTCTACATAGGCCCAAATGCACTAGATTAGATAGCTGGAGCATAGGATACGTGAAAGAGTAAACTATATTACGTCTATATCAGTCTACAATGTCGCTTCCCTCTTCTAAAACATGCGTAGATATTTAGAGTTTTTCCAGTTATATTGTACTGCAGTTATAGACAATGTAATATGGTTGAACAATTCAGGCATATTTATGTTCTGATTGTAGCGAGCTAACATGATAAAGTATTTTAAAATGTGTTTAATCCTCAACCTAGTTATCGTTACAGAAAGTACAAATTCTGTCATTGTAAACGTAAGTGAATTGGTAGTTTCAACTTAGCTGTAATTAATGTCATTTAGCCGACAATGGTATTTAATTTTGAGTGACTTTCTTTCGAATTCATTCAATGTTATAAAATGTTTAACAAATGGATGTAAGTATTTTTTGACTACATAATTTTGTGGTGTGATGCACTGTATATGTATATTAAGAATTGGCTCTGTTTCCTGTCGTATATTGTGCTTCACAGCAACTGCACAATTGTATCAACACTTCGCAACGTAAGCTGCGGAAAGTACAACGCGATACCAATAGTGAAGACTACAGGTTAGTGGGATTTATTCATATTAGCATATATATGTGGGTATTTTTGCCGAAGCACATTCCATTGATTTAAATTGATTTCTAATCATATAAAAGCATATGGTCTTAGAGATACAAAACAGCGACATATAACAATTCTGCATTAAATCTGGCTTGTTTCTTTACAAATGCAAGAAGAGGATAACGTGTTAGAATTATTTTTTAATGATGATGGCCAACACGTTACAGTGGATCTGGGATTCAATCTAAGGTTTCGAAAAAAAACTTGTGTATGTATGATTGTACTATACTTGACTCTCTTTTCACAGAAAGACCCCTGTCCTTTAACTCGAAAACAGTGACCAACACGTCTATCACGGTGACTTGGCCGTCCTTCTCAGAACAGAATCGGAATCAAAAAAAGAGGGTTTTTTACTATTACCAGGTATGCGTATACATATATCTGTATCTGTATAACCGATATATACGTAACACACCAGCTTCACAGGTACGCGGTGCGGCGGCAGCTGGCTATATTATATGACTTGTTAAACCTAGCCTTTGAACATCTAACTCTAAACATCTAGTGATGATGCCCCTACTGTACTTGGTGGCAACCAGTTCCACTCTACCATACTTTTACTTTCTAGGAAAAGAAACGAGTTTGTGAACACCTCAATTCTATAGAGGATGACCTAGTGAGTGTGTAAGTTTCTTTGCTCTTCAGCTGGATATTGCACCACTAGAACCAAATACCAACGGCCCACTGGTCATCTTTAACGAGACTGAGGTGGAGGGAACATTGACTGGCCTTATTCCCGGAAAGGAATATCAAGTAAGTACCAAACAAGAATGTGGTGCCTGTTGTTTTCAGCAGAATTTTTAAACAGTATGAATTATGTCGCTTCAAGTAATTTTCAGAGTAAATGATGCGCGGTCTTTCTTTTTTTTTATTTTGACACCAAACAATCGCTAAAGCGCATTTTATGGTTCGGTTTTACCTGCCTAGTTTTCAAATAGTCAATGCAAGCGTTTATTTCAACATGTCGAAAGATTGTTCTAGCATAGCTGTCGATGGAAAGCATGTATAGTACAATCAATGTAGGGTAAAATACAACAACGATCCCCAACTGTTACAAAATATCAGCCGTTTGAATGCAATTGTGCCCAGACCAGCTATCTATCTAGTGATCTATTTATCTCTCTGTCTTTAAATTCTATCTGTGTGCCCCCATGAACTTTGTGTCACTTTCTGATTACCCGTAACTACAGCAAACGTTCCTGTGTTTCAGATTCAGCTGAAAGCAACCGGAGACGCAAATCCAAAAGTCGAACCACATCATTTTACATACACGTTCATAACCACCGACATAATTGCTACCGGTTAGTAATCAACGTTTACCATATAAAACACCTTTTGTTTGCTCAAATTTCATTATTTCAAAATCTTATGAATTTCAAAGTTTTTGTTAAGAGTATATAAACCGACATAGAGCTAGAATACATCGGCCGTAGGTCTGAACGCAGCAAAACCAATAACTGCTTTTTTTCAGACCCTTCGCCTGTGGAGGAAGTTTCGGTAATCCACACGAGCTCGACATCTGTAAGATTGAAACTGATACCACCGAAGGAAGGGTTTGTAGACCTGTTCCAGATACAAGCAACCTCGACACATCATTCTAGGTACAGAGCAGCATTCAATCGTGCAAATATGCCTACAAACATTATTATCAACTAGTATACTATAGGTCCAGACCATCAAGGGTGGCAACCCCTTCTTGAGTTATCCTCTTTCAAAAATTTTAACAAAAACGGTCCTGTAGTTTTAGCATCTACCAATCCAAAATCGTCTCAATAGCATGTCCGGAACAGTTATTGTCAGGACCTACCTCAACCCTTCACCTTGTCCCATCAGTACGATCCATCTTATGCTTAGGTCACATTTGAAACGGCGCCCGTTCGGCATGTCCTCGGCGTAGACGCCGGCCGGCGTCATGACGCCGAGCGTGCGCCGTACTGTCAGGGTCACAATTAAATGTTCCTTTACGGCTCCCTGTCGGGGCCTGCTTGTGCTCCGGCCGGCGGCTCTCATTAATATTCATAAACTTTTGCGGCCGGTTTCTGTCAGGGACCCGTCCGGTGCCCGGTCAGTCGCCCGTCTTGACCCGTGCGGCGTGTGGTAGGGTGCCGACCGGCTCTTACAGTTCGGCCGGGCAGCTGTCAGGTCCCTGGCGGGTTCCTGGCGGGATCCCGACGGGCTCCTCTCGTGTTTTTGAGCAGGTACATATATAAGCGCTGCACTGCCTGCTACCGTTCACTTCAAGTAAAGAGTACACGTCAAGTAAAGAGTAGACTGAAGTTGGCGATGCAGCGTTCAGTGCAACCTGCAAACAACTTACAAGCCCGTCTGAGATTGAGATTGGTGACAACCTACATGTAGGTCTTCTGGCATTGGTAGCTGAAGAAGAGAGGCAGGCAGAACTGGTGCGTCGCAAAAGTAACCGAGGGCCTACTTTCGAAAGTACTTCAACAGTGACGCAGGAAGTACTTCAGCAGTGACGCAGGAAGTGTGCCGTGGCAGCTCCTTGCTATTGAGCAATAAAACCACTGAATATCGTTACTTCTGTTGAAATTTGGACTGAAAATAAATGCCAGTAACTTCTGATTCCATTTTATTACGAAGGCATATGATGTAACAAGAGATAATGACAGACACATTCTATTCCTGTTATGATCTGTTTTATGAAGTTGGCAAGAGAGCCGTGCCGGCTGTTTTCCCTTGCCCTTCGACATTCTGACCCACAAATACAAGGTGTAACACACACAAGTACACGGTGTAACCCACACGTGGTGAACTGTGCGACGTAGTCTGAGGCAGGAGTTTATATATGCTCCCTATAACCCCCTTTTCCTAACCATCTGATGCACTGATCAGCACATGTGACGTCATAATCTTAGGCAGGTGCCTGTTCGGCCGCCCGACGGGTCCCGGGCAGTGAGGTTACGGCGTCGCTTCGGCGTATTTCGCCGAACGGGGCCCGAAGTGTTTTTAACTCTGAGTTAAAATCGATTCGGCGACCGCGCGGGGCCAAAGATAGGCCGGCAGCCGTCGGGAAGCCCGCCGGTCTCCGTCCAGGTCCCGTTCGGTAGTGACCCAAAAAACACGCCGAACACGCGCCGAGCGGGCCCCTTTCTTGAATTGTGACCTTAGCATAAGAACTTACAATTTATGCTATTCACAGACACACACGCACGCCTCCAAAACGTGTTTCTTGGCGAGGTTCATAAGAATTCCAATGTTTCAGTCCTCTTGTAGACGTGCCTCTCCCAGAGGGGAACCCAGCAAGTGTCAAAGCGAATCTGTTCAACCTGCAGCCTGAAACGACTTACACAATTTCAGCCATGACAGTCGCCAAGGGCAACAGGGGCAAGGCCAAAGAGGTGATCTGCACGACAGGTAAACAGTGGTAGCTGTAGAGTTTTCTTAAACGCGAGACGTCTCCTACAGCAAATGGTTTATTGCAACATTTCAGTAGTGTGTCTGCACGGGAAATGTCCCTATATGGATATATGCAATTCTGAAAATTGTGTGCTCAGATTTGTGTTCCTGTCTCGTCATATCTCAATTCATTCCAATTTTCAGAGCCAGTTCCCATCGATACAAAGCTTGTGGGGTGGACCACAGGTGTTATCATGGTCGTTGTGATTGCAGCTGCCTTCTGCACTGTGCGGATAGTAAAGAGACTAAAATACAGGTTAAACCCTGCACAACTGTTCAAGGAAGTTCTTGAGGTAACAAAGCTATTCATGTTTGTTACCTCCATGAAAAATGGAGGTATTGTTTTTGGCGTGTCTGTCTGTATGTATGTCTGTGTGTGTGTCTGTCTGTGTTTCCGCAACTTTGTAGTCAGCATAACTTCAGAACGCCTTTATGGATTGTGATGATATTTGGTATGATGGTAAGACTTGGAAAGACAAAGGTCAAGGTCAAGTATGGGCCTCCTGGTGGATGACCTTGGTACTGCAGCAGAACTTCCGGTTTTTGTATCTTTTGTCCTGAACAAGCTATGGTCTTGACTTTTTGGTGACAGATAGCTTATCCTGTCAGAAATAAGTGGCGTAAGTTTGGTCCCCCTAGCAGCTTGTTCTGGAACTGCAGGTTAGTTTCTGGTAAAAACTTTAAAAGCCAATAAGTCCAGATTGGAACAACGTATTTTCATCATTTTTGGTGTGTAGGTACCTGAGAGACAGTTGTACATGATTAAATGCAAATTATGCAAATGAGGACTTAATTTCCATAATTAATGAGGAAATTTTATAATTACAGTGTATCATATAATGGTACTGCTATACATGTAATCTATTTAATCTGTGGCAGGCGGAACATCAACAGATATCAATTATGCAAATGATGACCTAATTTGCATAATTAACGTGAAAATTCTGTGAATCCTTATTGGTGAATGATGGGAATTTTATACCTCGTAACATGTGTAACTTAAAGGTATGCATCGCTATGCATATATTATGTTAATGTGGAGGTATTTGCATAATTAATGAGGAAAAAGCAAGCCCATATTTCATGGAGGTATGAGATCTCGGAACTCTTGTTGTCTTTGTTTTTATAAATGTGTCCGAATTCCTAGCTCGATCCATCTGATGATTACAACATCTAAGCTCATATATTAGCATGAAATAAGTTGGCGCATATATTAGCATAATGAGAATTAAACTGTTCTCCGACTCAAAGAAACTCGCTCATCGGAATTTTTTCCCAAATCGCTCGGTCGACGTCTTCTTCAGCTATCCAACCCAAGTGCAGTATATACCTATAGCCAGGCACGTTATTTTCCCCAGATGTCACGTTAGCACTGGGTCAAAGTTCGTCGGAAGTCGGTACCACCCCACGTCCTGGCTGAGACAAGGTTGGTATATGTTGATGGCTTCCTACACTCACAGATCTACGTACATCAGGGCATACGAACCTTCTCTAAACCGTGTCGGGGGGCGGTACCGACTTCCGACGAACCTTGACCCAGTGCTGACGGCACACGTGGGAAAAATCACGTGTCTACAGACTGAAGATTGAGCGATTCGGTCGAATATTCCTGTGAGTAAATTTCTTGAAATTGGAGAACAGTTTAATTCTCACTAAGCTCATATATTGTCACATGCTTATTATCAGGATATAATCGGGTCTGAGAAGATGGAGCCATGGCTGAAGAAAAGAAAGAACCTGTTTCTTGAGGAGCTGATCGGAGAGGGAGAATTCGGTCACGTGAGGAAGGGCGTGCTGAGGGAAGAAGGACAACAAGCCGTCATTGTGGCTGCCAAGACGCTCAGGTAAGTTTGCTTTGGGCCATTGTGAAGTTCCATCACATTGTTACAACATTGTACAGTGTACTATAGGTTCGAATGGAAGCTCATCTGTGTTGGTAGAGTCCATAGTTGTAGATTGTAAATGATAAGAACAAAACAACGAAAGGAACTCAACACAAATTTTCAGTCGATCTCGTCGACCTTCATTAGATGTACGACCCACTGCACCGAATTTCTGAAAACTAGAAGCGTGATGACGTCAGGAGTGAATCAAATAGCGAGAAGACAGAATCCACCACTGCAGTCGTGGTTCAGAGAGGGTTGATGGGCCCTGATGTAAACTGCCTCCTTCACACTCCTCACAAAGTAATCCTGCTCCGTATCCAAAATGCACACCTTGTCAAGCGTAAAGCTACGGTCACAACCCGCCGTACGTGCTTTTTGTCCGTACGTTTTTTGGGAGGCTACGTCTGCTACGTTTTTTTCTGAAAACGTGGAGAAGGAGTGGCATCGACGCACGTCACTAGCACGTCACTCGCACGGTTTCGGAAGGTGTAAGAGTGTGGTCTGCACGCCACGTCTGGCCGTGAGCGGTTGCGTGCATCGTACGTTGCGCAAGTGGTGAGTTGTACGTGCTTACAACGTACGATCTCTGTGCGGTTGCAACTTTACCGTAAGGAGGCCGTACTCACACGTGCGTCTTTCTTACGGTATGTACGGGGCACGCCCGTCGCCCGTACTCGCACGCACGGGTGATGAATCCGCAGACCGCACGTAGAAAAAGTTTTACATGCACTTAAAGTTCTACGGCGTGTCTGCGTGCTCCCAAATCCGTAGGATTCCGTACGGAGGCGGTACTCACCACGCACGGATCCCCTACGTTTGCCCACGTTTTTGCACGTAGACAGCACGCAGAAGCACGTGCGGCGGGTTGTGACCGTAGCTTAACTGTGTGACCAGGAGACCCGATATGTATGTGTTGTGACATTTCAGACGTAGTGTAACTGGGACACTTGTGCTTCGAAAATCTTGTTTTGAATTGCCGTTCCGTTTCACCTGGACACGGTCCTGACAGAATATCTAATAGATATGTGTATTGTACCATAGAATTTATGACATTTAATCGAGGCCACTATCGGTTGCCTCAGAAGGTATGTTTTTACTGTAACTGTAGAGTGGACCGAGCCAATGAGATCACCTACCGAGACTTCGCGAAGGAAGCGAGTCTGCTAATAGAAGTCAACGATGATGGCGGTCACGTGAACATCGTCAGTCTGATAGGACTGGTGGTTGATGGGAAAATGAAGAAAGGTGCGTGACACAAATTATATCACTTGCCCACTTCTAATTCAAGACATCGTTCAATAAGAGTATTTTTCATAGTTATGTAAATGTGAATAGCTGAAAGACAAAACACACTATTATATATATATCTATATATATATATATATCTATATATATATATATATATAT